ACACATACGTATAACCAAACTGAGCTGATTGAACAGCATAATTGTAAGCTATAACATTTTTTTTTATATCTGACATCAACTATCACAGAAACAAACCACGAAAAATAGAATTTTGGAGTACAATACTTTGTGAGTAATTTATTAAGATTAAACATTTTATATGATGTTGGCTACAGCTGTTCCATTTTGTCGGGGTATCTACAACATAGTATTTTACATTTTCATCAAGTTGTGTATGACTACCTTGAGTATGAGTGCCTCTGGGTTGCTGATGCTACATCGACGTCTGTCCTCATAGGTACGCGGGGCCTCGTCCTCCATGTCGTTGGTCCACAGTCGCCGCTGCTAGCTGCTGCTGCTACTGCTGTCTGGAGCTGTCACAAACAGCCAGTCCCCCCTCCTCCACCACGTGGTGTGCCGTGATGAGATGAACGTGCTACAGGTGGTCGTTGCTGTGACAACCACCACAACAATCACAAACACCACGACAATCACAACCACCACAAGGTCACCACCAAGGGAGGCACATTGTAACCCTAGAATGTATAGCTCTAAGATGTTTGCTTGTCAACATCATTACCACCGAAAGCAGTGATTTTGTTTCTTGTTCAATTGATTTATATAATACTGTATTCAACCTTGTTTAAATAATAATGCTATATGTCCATCGTGGATTTCAGAATTTTTGTCAAATAAATCGTTTAGGAATCACATTTATGATATCTACAAATAATTTGGGTCTGTACAAGGTGTTTGCTGACGCTATTCTCGATGGGACAACAGCCATTTTCCGCAAACTGCTGGTTTCCAAAAAGGTCTCGCTGGATGTTCTTGTGTTGTATTTTTAATAACTCGAGTATTTTGTGTATTTATAGTATACACACCACTGACTACTGGATTAGTAAAAATATTTTGGACGATAATGTAAATATATTTATCTAACAATATACTTTTAACTTACAATTTTAAAATTACAATTTTTAGCTCATTAAATTCACAACAATATAAGTTGTTAAATGAAGTCAAATACTATGTTTTTACTAACGGATTACCGGTACTCATATTTATACCATTATAAGTTCTTTCAAGAGGGATGTTTGGTCGGAGGAGTTGTCATGAATATATTTCTCGGAGTTTTCATCTGGATTTGTGTTATATTGTTTGAATGTTTTTACTAGGGGGCAATGAGGAGGTAGCGTATTACTGAATAATTCAATAAAATTGTATTTTGTCCAATAACTTTGTTCCAAGTTGTATAGACCTGTCTTGATCATTTTCTGAAATATTTAACTGTCCCGTAACTTTTTTTGCCATCCTGTACAGGCTCGGCTATACGCGTTTGGCCACAGCTATTCAAAAGTTTCCCGGCCATACAAAATGTACGTAGTTTCTGGTTCTCCTGGTTTCTTGATAGGCTGGCTAGACAATGATAAAATAATCTTATTTAATGAATACGTACGAACTGCAATGTATGCTCTTTGCATAGTAGATATAGTATAAAATACGTGTGTAGAATAATTTTCTACAATTATCAATTATCAATTAGTTAAGATGGGGACGCCACTATGTGCGTATTTTAACCCAAATATGAGTGAAGGATGAGTGTAGGATGAGTGGCGCGATCTTGTAGTCTTGTTAGTGACTAAGGCCGACATGTTCCTTAGACACAGCTGTTAATTAATAGCCCATACAGCTAATGGCAACTAAGGGACCTACAGTTTATAGTGGAATCCGAACCACATTTTTCCTTGTAATTTACGAATTGGTCTAATTATCAGGATAGTACTGCGGATAGTCGTAGTACTCACTAGTGCGGACGTTAATCCACACCAGGGAGCATCGCATCCACAGTGCATCCCTATAAATTTATTACAAGATGCGATCATGCCGGTAGTTTGACCAGATACATTCTGTGGCTTTAGAAAAGCAACCGTCGGTCGCCTAATAACCTAATGATCTTGGAAACAACATCTCGTGTGCTGGAACGATCACCCTATGCCCTATGCCCTATACCATCAATGACTAAAGAAGATGTACAATCATACCTTTCTTATTTAAGGGTTCATTCATTTAATGATTTTTGCTTTACAGTTTGATTATAAAACCACAATTAAGTTTTATTTGTGAAAACTATTTTTAAACAATACATTTGTTATCTTCATTGATGGGTTTTGCAGACAATGAGCCATTCCAACAACGTGTCATCACGTCAACCAGCATACACACATTTTATACAATAAATAAGGTAAAGGTTTTTTGTGCAGGCTCCCGTCTAGATGCCATCACAATAACGTGCCACCACTACGACTTACCTACATACATAATCCAAGATGGAGGATTTTTTACAGGCTCCTGTCTAGATTTCACCCCGATAAGGAGCCACGATGTCAATTCACCTTCTCATACGAGGGAGGGAAGGTGGCGGATAGTCAACTACAATCATAAACCAGCCACCTAAACTTATGTTTCTTTTTGGTTATAGTTGTAGGCGTGGATCCTTGTCAGGGTGGCACCTTGATCACGGCTATCAGCTGAAGATAATTTTTATATTGGTGCCGGCTTGTTCATGGGGGAGGGGAGTATTTTTTTGTTTTTATGGTTAACTTCTTCTTATTTCCGTCAATTTAAGGGCTATACTTACAAAACTACATACCATTATGTGAAGTTACGTGACATTAGGTAGGTCTTCTAAAAGCAAATTAGGGAAAGGAAAAAAATAAAGAATTTAGAATTTGGCCATTATAACGCCCAAATTATAATTATTTCAAATAAGAGAAACTTCTTAAAGAAACATATAGAAAGCATAGAAACACCTACAAAAAGCTCTCAAATTTGGGTATGATCATATTTACGAGGAAAACAATTATTTGAAGCAAATAAGAAGAAAAGCAATTTAAAAGAACAAAGAAACACAAACACAATTAGAATCACATTTATATTGTCCACTCATGGGTTTTTTAATCTGTGTCCCTCCTCCCTACACCACACCCCTCTTCCTGGTAGTTAGGTATGCCTGATGGGCCCCTGGCAAAGAAGATCACCTATCTCTGCCATCCTAAAGAATCCCTTGAACCTTTAGATCATCCTATCTTTAATACATAATTAGGTACATTAACAACAAAACAATATCAACACGAATCATTTATTGTTCATATTCATGTTCAAGTACCTGGGGACCGAGCTTTGCTTGGGGAAAATTATTAGTTTACTCTTAAAAGTATTGCAGATACATTAATCCACTCCCAATCTCCACACTGCTCACATTCACTACTTACTTCACCACTCCCTACGTCGACCTGTTTGCCCTCCTTCCCTATACCATTTTAGAATTGCAGATACATAAATGCCACAGACAGTTCCCACACTCTGCACTGCTAGCATTACTACTTCCTACGCCATTTCCTACGTCATGGACCTGTTTTCCTCCCTTCTTGTAGCGTTTTAGGATTGTAGATACCTTAATCTAATCGTCATAAACATTTCCCACACTCCGGAATGCTCACCTTTACTACTTCCTTCACCACTTCCTATGTCGCAGACCTCTTTCTATCCCTTCCCATAGGATTTTAGGATTGTAGATTCCTTAATATAATCGTCATAAACAGTTTCCAGACTCCAGACTGCTCGCCTTTACTACTTCCTTCACCACTTCCTACGTCGCGGGCCTGATTCCCTCCCTTCCCATAGCATTTTAGGATTGTAGATAACTTGATCTAATCGTTATTAACAGTTTCCACACTCCGGACTGCTCACCTTTACTACTTCCTTCACCACTTCCTACGTCGCGGACCTGTTTCCCTCCATTCCCATAGCATTTTAGGATTGTAGATTCCTTAATCTAATCGTCATAAACAGTTTTCACACTCCAGACTGCTCGCCTTTACTACTTCCTTCACCACTTCCTACGTCGCGGACCTGTTTCCCTCCATTCCCATAGCATTTTAGGATTGTAGATTCCTTAATCTAATCGTCATAAACAGTTTTCACACTCCAGACTGCTCGCCTTTACTACTTCCTTCACCACTTCCTACGTCGCGGACCTCTTTCCATCCCTTCCCATAGGATTTTAGGATTGCAGATAACTTGATCTAATCGTTATTAACAATTCCCACACTCCGGACTGCTCACCCTTTCTACTTCCTTCACTACTCCCTATGTCGTAGACCTGTTTGCCCTCCTTCCTTATACTATTTTAGAATTGCAGATACATAAATGCCACAGACGGTTCCCACACTCTGCACTGCTAGCCTTACAACTTCCTTCCCCATTTCCTACGTCATTGACCTGTTTTCCTCCCTTCCCATTACATTTTAGGATTGCAGATACCTTAATTCAATCGTCATAAACAGTTCCCACACTCCAGACCCCTTTACCTCCCTTTACTACACACTCCACACTGCTACCTTTGACTATAGAATCGAGTAATCTTCAGTATAATCATTGCTCAATAGTAACAACTGATGTTTTTCCTTTTGTACTGTGTTTTGTTTTGCTAGTATACTGTGGATAGACAAATTACAAAGTCTTTTGTTTACTTTTTCCTTGTTATTTAATTTAGCCAACATGGTTACCTAGCAACCCATAAGACTAATGTTAAAAAAATGTGATTTTCAGTTTAATTTTTCTACGTAATTAGATTTTTGTTGGCAGTTCTAATTGTAGTAAACTCGTTTTTAGGCCAGAAATAAACTATATACAACATTTGAAGAAAATCGTCGGAGCCGTTTTCGAGATCTTGGTGCAAGCATACATACAAGCAAACTTTGCTCGTATTAGAGTATAGGATATAGTATAACAAAATAATTGTAAATAACCAATAACCTTAATTGCAGGATGAATTGGAAGTAACCACAACCATAGATTAAGCATGCTACTTAATCTATGCCACAATTCAGTGTACACCGAGGCTGCCTGGTCTAAAGAACCAAAGCCTGCAACTAGAGAAAATAAAAAAATCATCACGCACTAGCAGACTACAGGAGCAGGCTGGCTGACTGGGTCTAGGTCTAACCTAAAATTCAAATTCAGAATAATAGTACATTGACGAGAACCTCCATAATATAATTTTAAAGTATTCATTTTAATTATATTTGTGATAATCACCTCTTGCTTGTGTAACCAGGATCTTAACTTTTGCAATTAATGCTTGGAATAATATACGGAGGTAAGTTTAAGGTTCTTCCTTAGGTTATGTTAAGACTTCAAACCTAAGTAGACCTAGGCTAATGTTTGTTTATTTCGTGTTGTCATTCATCACAACAATCTAAAAAAATAAATAAGTAACAACCAGTTTGAACCTTAGGGATTGATTCATTAAAGTTAAACTACCCTATTTTCATGTTTTCCTTTTGTGTCATGGACACAAACATTAACTTACAAGTTCTTCTAAAACTTATAACTTAGATTTCTGGTTAGCCTAATATAAGTTCCTACACTAAGTAAGGACATGTAATATTCAGGAAAATTCCTAATTAGAAATTTAACTCAAAGAATCCACCGATTTTGACATCTTCCACCTAATTCACCATTTAAGTTGTGGTAGGCTAAGTTAGCCTAGGCTAGGCCTATGGTCGGCCCCTGGAGCTAGTATCTTTTTAGCGATACTAGTGACAAGACAAAATGAATGCTTTTCTGGCTCGACACGTTATTTGCCGCTAAATCTACTCAGACCAATCGTGCCTGATTCTGAGTTTGTCTGATTTCGGCTTATCTTTATGAGTTTGTGGTTTAACGAGTAAAGAGTTGAGTTTGACCTAACCCTAATAGAGTGAGTGTGAGCCGGACTTGGCTTTTACTAATGGTACTTAAGTTTTGTGAGTTGGACTCTCTATCAGTCAATGGCCTAAAGTTTCAGATTAGCGAGTCGAGTTGACTGGTTTCTTAAGTTTGTAAGTTGTAAGTTTGGTATATTTTGCATGACTTCAATGACTTCATGACCCAGTAAAGTTGTCTTTCAATAAGCGTTAGTTTTGCAGGGCTAACTTACAATAAATTATCAGATGAAATTTTCATAAATTTTCACTGATTAAGTTAAATTACTAACTAAGTATTATAGGCCTAAACTTAAAATCTTTCATTCAATATAAATTTAGAATGCAAAAATAGATTCTACAAGTATTTTCAATAGAGCTACCCACAACTCTTTTACTATAGGCTGTGTTTTATCTTCCTAAATTAACCTACTTCCAAACACTTGGCTTAAAATACCTACTTTCTATATGGTTGCCATTTCATTGAAAAGTATTAGCTTAAAGTAAATTACAGCCCCAAAGCTACCATCCTCTCATGCCTAAAAAAAGGTCATGTAAGTTTAATTAGTCTAGTCTACCAGTCTATCTAGGCTACATCCCTATAGTGAAAAAATGACCAAAGAATCACTTTAAAGTTTGTCTAAAAAGTCAACAATATTTTGTTCTACTCAAAATTTTATTCAAAAAATAAAATCTGACTTAGTTGATTAATGATTATAATCATGATGGATTTTCATCCATCTTTTCAATCTCTTTACCCTCACCTTCACTTCACTTTACTTAGCAACACAGTAATAGTTTGTAGGTACATTCTAGTTGTAGTGAAGTGACACAATTAGGCTTACTGTCCATGACAATCCTCCAAAAGTAGTATTTTTGAACAGTGATATCACCTAGAAGGCCTAGAAGCATTCATTCGCCTTAACAAATAAAAATAATAGTATGTTTAAATTCGGGAGATATAAAACTAAAATAAGATATCAAAATATAAAAAAGTTTGAGGAGGCACATATTAAATAAAGCCTACCTACCAGATTAACTGGGAGGGTTATGTTTTTAGAGAATTTCCCATACATTTACTGTAGATCTCGTGGTAAAACCTAGACCAAAAACTAATTTACTTTGTCGTTTTGATGTCAAAAACACCAACCAATCAAATTTATATATATATTTCTCCGTTAGCACGTTACATGCAAAAATGATCCGATTATGATGAAATTTGTTTAAAATGTGTGAGCCCACATTTTTATTCGAATTATTTCACAAACCAGCATAATCATACTCTGGGGATGATATTTTATGGTTTTTTTTTTAATTTTTGACCTCCCAAAACATACAATTTTACAACTTCTTTTTAAATGATTTTGCAGAGAGCTTAAAAAACAAACAAATTAGTAGGCCTATATTGAAGAATTGTTGTATGCCTAATGACTAGTTAGAAAATTTTAACAATTATTTGAATTTTTTTATTTTTATGTTATTTTTTATGGACAGTAAAAAAACAGTTGTAGTATACTTTTTTATGGAAAGATATTTTGATCAAATTTGGTAAATTTATTTATGTAATACTAAAGCTATTAACATTTCAATAATAAAGACACATTATTATTACCTTCCCTGTAACAGCAAACCCAAGTACTTGAGTGAAAATCCAACCAGAAATGGAAATTCGTATAGTCTGTAGGATTGCTGCGGCAGTGTTAATATATTCTTTATAGTCCTCATCATTGTGCGATTATTTTAGGCTTATATTTGTTTGTGCTCTTGTTTTGAATCAGGTAAAGGAAGTTTTTTTAGGTACAATGATTGGTATGTTTGTGGTTGGAATAGAATGTGTGAATAGCGAAGTAAATTTGTTAAAGAACATTTCTTTCTTAAAGAAGGGTGTGCATGGATAACAATTACTGTTTGTCATAGATAGGGCATTATAATCCAACAACATAATCACATGTCATCATAAACATATTAATTGAGGCAACATGGAAGTTAAATCAATGAATACTGTAAACCCTTTAAGAAGCACAATGCCTTTGTACAAAATTCAGTCTGGAATGTAAATATTGAATTTTGGATAGTTTCTGTGGTGGCTGCTAGGTAGACTAACGAGCACGCCATCAGATCAGCTGACTGAGTGAGATAAAGAATTGGCGAGAAAGAGATAGAGTAGCGCGGCCACCACACGAGCTCTCCTAGCGGCGGCCATGCAAAGCTCAGTATGACGGCGGCGAAATTTCAGTATGACTATTCTCCATAAGCACTGTGCTTCTTAAAAAGTTGTATTCATTGGATAAACAGACTCGGAGGGAAATATGAATAACCATATGTTGCTTGGATCAAGGCTGATGTTATGATGCATTTTAACAGATATTGAAAGAGTATATTGTTTGATTTAATTGCTAGTTAAGGCTTGTTTTACATATACCCGGTATGCCGTTAACCCGATTCCTATCGGGGACCTGCACAGGTTCACTATTCACATTACTCCGACACCGAGGGAGCGCCCGGCATCCATTGACTAGTGCACGGCAGCCGGGTAGTGATTAGCCAACCACGACACAAGTCGTGCATATGTGAACGGCTCCATATTCTTCACTCAATTGTAAGTTAAACTACGCCCCCTACACACAACAGCTGGGTTGGGTATATGTGAAACAGGTCTTAATTGTATTTCCAATTAAATTTCTGCCTATTTTTGGCTAATGTAGCAATTAGAGCATAGGCCTAGCCTATACATAATATGTTACATTTAATTATACATAGGCCAACACTATCTTTATCTTTTTCACTCAATTGGTTTCTGTTTTAATAGAAAAGTTTAGCGCTTCATTTATTTTTGTTTAACATTTTGTAGTTTGATGTGCTAAAAGTGTTTTTAAAACTTCTCGTTGAGATTCTTCACAGTTTCTTAAAATCATTAAACAAATGTAATATATATAGTTAGGTTCTGTAGGCTACTCACTTTGATTCCAATTTCCATCATTAAAACAAAAAAAAATTCTTTTTGAAACTGTTAATGCATAATGTAGACTTATACTGTTGTTATGTAATTTAAAGGAAGCTGGAAGATATGGAGCCAGTAGAAATGGAAGAAAAACAAGTGAAACCATCCATGGAGTCAGAAATCATTGAAGATGAAATAACAGACAAAGTAGTCAATGAAATCCATTCCTTTCATGTAAATGATCAATCGTCATCCCCTAGGGACTCTAGTTCGGGTGTAAGTGATACTCAAAACAGCAGTAAAAGGAAGCTTGATAATCATTCTGATGAACAAAGTTTAGAAGCAAAAAAACGTAAATGGAATGATCTTTGGCAAGCCATAGAAATACCGCCAGAGTTATCAAAAAGGCAAAGGAAGAAATACATTAGAAAAGTTCTATGGGAAACAAAATGGAAGCCTGAAAAAAGAGCGAAAGAAAAGGAAAAACTTAAACAAAAGAAATTGCAAGCTAAGTTGGAAAATAAACCATTAGGACCTTCCAGAAATATGTTGAAGCATTCAACAATGGCCAAAAGTAACTGCAAACTTAGAATCACGTTAGACTTTTCTTTTGATGACCTAATGACTGAAGCAGACATTGGAAAATGTCTAAAACAGTTAAACAATTGCTATTGCCTTAACAGAAGAGCTACAAATCCTCTTCAGTTACATGTTACTAATTTTTCTGGTAAGGCGAAGATTCAGTTCGATAAAACTACTCCTTACAAAAACTGGGATGTGAACTTTCATGAAGCGAACCATTTAGAAGTGTTTTCAAAAGAAGATCTTGTATACTTGACAAGTGACTCTGATAATGTTTTATCAACATTAGATCACTCTAAAGTATATGTCATCGGAGCCCTAGTCGACCACAACAAGTACAAAAATCACACTCTGGAAGTAGCGATTAAACAAGGTATACAGCACGCACAGTTGCCAATTGGAGAGTACTTAGAAATGAAAACTCGAAAAGTGCTTACCATAAACCACGTGTTTGCAATTATGATTCATGCATCAGAAGGAACTTCTTGGAAAGATGCTCTTTTAAAAGTAATTCCTCCGAGAAAAGGTGCTGTTGAAAAGTTATCAGCAGAAGGAACTTAGCAAAGTAGTTGCAATAAGTTTATATACAGACTTTTTAAAAGCTTAATAAAATACAGGGACGGATTAGATTAATTTGCTTGTATCTTTTTGCTTTCCTTACACCCTAATTTAGAGGAGAGTTATCCCCTTATCCTTGGGATCATAATATTCAATATATCATACCATGTGCTCAAGATTAATTATCAAGATTTGTGAAGAAATCATCATTTACAAGATAACTGATTAAAATTCTATTCCATTTTTACTTGATGGGAGTGCCAATTTTCCATTTTGAATACTCCTGAAAAAAAGAGTTAATTCTCCCATAAAGGGGGATGGGAACCTACTAGAAAATAGGTGGATAAAGGCCGTGTCACAGGTAGCAACTTTGCTCGTTGCTTATAGTAGCAGCTACTACTCACACTCGCCAATAATTTCTTTGTTGCAGTCACACTAGGAGACTAGTAGTAGCGGGTACAGTGAAATGTTTCTATTGTGCTTCTAGTGTTTTAAATCATTGCCGTGTCATCAGTGGGGATAAGCCGACAGGCTTTACGGTGTCTCTTGTTGTAATTCGTAAGAGAACTGTGTGATGGCTGAGGAGTTGCTGGGTAACGAAACGCAATGCAAGGAATAAGAATACACGGAAGTGGGTACTTTATTGGATAGGAAGGAGACATAATTAGTTTGGTGCCTCTTCCATGCTTATAAAAGAACTAGTGAGTGAGGACCCTCCTCAATCGTACCAAAATTCAATGAGTTGCTCAGTTACCAGCGACTAGTCACTTCAAAAATAGAACATGTCCTATTACTCGCGCTACTGTATTTTTACTAGTCGCGTATTATACATTGTATTATACATTGTATTATACATTGTATTATACATTGTATTATACCTTACTTGTGACACGGCCTTAAAGTAAGGAATATGACATTGGTCTCACAGTTGAACCAGCTTGCTTGGCTGTGACAGAAGCTTGATGGAGATCTTAATTCACAAAAAGCCTTATTTAAAAATGTTCATATAAAGTTTATTTTAATTTAAATATTTTCCCCACATCGTTTCAGATTTTTAACTTAAAACTTTAAAACCTTAAAATCCTTAACCTTTAACTACTTCCATGATACACTTCATTAAACACTCGTACATCTCACATTCATGAAACAAACTCAACATAAAATATGTTTTTGCTCAAATTATAATTGTTTATGAATATATTATATCATTTGAAAACCAAAAACAAAATATATTAATATTATGTATTTGTAAATTATATTATATTCATGTAATGAAATTAAGTTTTCCTCTCAAATAGCTTGAAGCTAGAGAGGTAGGCCTGCAGCTAGGCCATAAGGCACTGCAGTGTACAAAACATTTTGTATGTGAGAAAATGAATTGAAATTTAATCTAACTTCTTTTAGGTTCTTTTTATAACATTTTAAGTTTTTTTTTTATACTAATTTGTAGACTATAAATTGGGCAAATTCGATATCACATTATACCACACTACATGGCACTATTTGACATTTAATATGATCATATCTCCATCTCTATATGATTTAAATATGAATAGCAATTATTAGATTTTGCAGTTGGTCATACTCAATTTGCCGTTATTACACCATAGTAGTAATGTTATAGATCTATTATTATAGTTTAATACGCCTAAGATGTTGTCAATGAAAGGAGCAATCCAGGTATGATATGACAAATACTGGCATACCTTCTGGGTAGGATGGTAGCTTGCTTGGTAGGAAACTGGTTGGCATTTGACATGGAAACTAGAATATTTATGCTGTCAGTTTTCCTTAGTAGACTCATTGGGGGATTCTAATCCTTTCTTTTATTTATTAGGAGGTGAAAAATGTCAAACCAAGAAACAGAAGAGTTACCACCTTCCAAATTAGGAACCAAGGAATAGTAAGTGCCAAAAAGGGGGGGGAAATCAATTAATTTGTAGTTTGTCCAAACATTGCTTGAATTAATGCCGTATTTTAAATTTTAATGTTTACGCAAATGTCAAACTTGGTCTCCGTTTAAATTCCTGTCAGTAAGTGATGCTTGCAGGACAGATTTTCAAATTTTTTTATCAAACACCTCTCCTCTTTGCTGTTAATATTTGTATATATGTTCTGATTTATAACTGTATAGTTTGTAAACTGTGTTAAATTAACCAGAAATTAAATTGAAGTGGTTCAATATGGAGTCCTTACTTTAGCGGTTGACAAATTGAGGTGTTATAAATTGCATATAATTTTCTTGTTGTTTCCGTTCAAAGACAAAATTCAGAGATCTACCTCTAATATAATTATACGATTGCAGTTTACAGCAAAATTCTATAAAATACTAGCTGACCCGGCGAACTTCGTATCGCCTAAGTTATAGGTTTCCCCTAAGACAGACCGATGGAAAGAAAGTACCGTTACGTTTAATTTTCAAGATGATCTCGTTCGCATCGCTCAATCACGTCCTGGTTGAAGTTCGTTCGCTACGCTCACTCACCTTTGGGTTGCAAATTAGCTGTTGTCATAAATGTAAAAGAAATAATAGTGCTGCACCCTGTTGGTAATCCTTGTAACTTTAATGCTATTGAACATCATAGAACAGAACCAACTTGTTTAATTGAAACAGCTGTTAAGATTCATTAATTCCATTTCTCATAAGGTTAACATGGGAAACTCCAGAGCCACTGGGGCGGAGCCCTTTTAAGAATTTCGAAACGGGAAATAGTTTACGTCTGATTCGCATACCTACAGAATTTACACACCAAATTTCATAACGATCGGTGAAGTCGTTCCGGAGGAGTTTGCAGACAAACACTGTGACACGAGAATTTTATATATTAGAAGATGAAGTTACATATAGCCCCTCCCCCCTCACTTTAACATTATTACTATTTAGTCAACAGTTGGTCTGGAGCACACCCTAAATAGTTTTTGGTTAACATTTGAAAAATTAGTTAAATTATGTCTTCATGATGTTACTAGTGAGTAAAATCACACAACAAGCAAAAAGATGAATTATATAATTTTTATATGTTAAGACAGTTTTCCACATTCAGCTTAATAGTACGGTGCAATTAGTCATAAAAAGGGCTTAACCCGGACATCCATAATGAAAGCATACTTTCAACTCAAAGCTGTTCAGTAGATGGTTCAGTACAGTTCACATAATGTTCGGTAAAAATTTACACCTGTTTGAGCGTCGTGTTTGTGGGGGAGGAGGGGAGGGTGGTAAAAGTTGGAAAAATTATACTTTTTTTTTATTGGATATCTCAGAAACCATGCATTTATTTTTAGTACAAAATTTGTCATCACTAAATAATGAATTATCATTATTTTTATATCCAGTGACTTTGTTCCATGCTTTGTAGCTGTATCTATCTATATATTATCTTTATTGTTTTATGAAATATTTAGCTACCTCCTAGACTTTTAAAGCGTTAAAAGACGGTAGAAAAATGTCAATTTTTAAGCTTCTGTATCTCTGTAATCATTCACTTTATCAATATAATGAGGAGGACCATCTTGTTTATTTGTAGTTTATTTTTGTACATGACGTATTTGGTAGTAAAATGCATAGTTTCTGAGATATAAAAAAAACCAAAAAGGTGCCGTTTTACCAACTTCCCCCCCTCCCACCAAACCCGACGCTCAAATAGGTGTAACTTTTTACCGAACATAATGTGGACTGTACTCAACAACTTGGAGTCAAAAGTGTGCTTTCATTATGGATGTCCGGGTTAAGGTCTAATTGCACCCTACTATTAACCAAGAATTATTTTACCATCAGTGTTATTTATTATTAGTGAATTTATAGAACAGACATATTTTACAATACATCTTAGTTTTGTATATGTTTTATGATTAGAGAGGCTACAGTGTCGCTCAATGTTGACTGGTGAATGACCAGAATAGTTAGTGCAGCAAACCTTAGGCAAAATAGGTGAGAAGCAACAACCTAAAGACCGGGTTAAAAGAATTGTTAACCACTATACTCTTTGAAAAATGATAAAATTGGCAAATCCTCTTCAATGTAGGACAATAGTTTCTTAAAGTAATGCAAAACCCCTGGCATATTCTGTATGAGGTTTAAACCAGTTAAAATATGCCACTAGTGTTATGCTAATAAAACAAACAAAATAAATAAATAGATGGCGATATTCTTTAGAACACTAGCTCAGCGATTTCTCAAGAACTTTGTAGTAACTAATTAAGTGGGACTTAACAAGTGAACATATACATACTATATTGGGGTATATTACTATTCGTATTGTGAAACACTATAACTTGTATTTTATTATAGTTGGGATTCAGTGTATCAAGTTGAAATAACAAATTTTAAAAGCCACGGCGATGTAGGGGAGGTGTGGTTTGGTGAAGACAGTGCTTTGAGAATTGTAAGGTGAGTACTACTAGTATAATTCTGTCGTATTATTCTTCTTATAATTCTGTCTATGTAAAATAGATCTTAATTAAATTACTAGAATTTGGTCAGATTTACCTAAGCATATAAGTCAATTCCATTTAAAAATTCAAGTATTATTTAAAGAAAATGGATTTCAGTGTTTCTTTTACATAAACAAGCATATTATTGTCAATATCCTCTAGAGATCACTTAAAGAAACAATTACAATAGCTTAAAAACCACTGTCGGTAGTAAATCAAGAAATCTCAGCCTGGTTGGTCAGTACAAATCTTCAACATTCATTCTTTTTTTAGAATTTTTCACCCTTTGAGCTTCAGAGGATGGTAATTGAGTCATGAGAAAAGTACAGCAAAACTCAAACTATCGGAATTGCGTACAGAAAGAAATTTATAAACTTGAAACGGCAGTAATTAATAAGAATTGTTATTAAAGAAGGCAGAAGACGTACTTGTACCAAAATCTTTAACATCTCCTTTGGTCATGAAGTCATCACCATAGTCTCCCAAGGTCACGTAAAATTCATCACTCTCCCCTGCAATCATGACAAAAGCATGCATTTTTCAATCTCAAAATCTTCACAGACTAGACCTGAGATGTAATAGCATTGACTATTGGATAATGAATAGTAAAAGCTCGGCTAGACTCCACACTTTTCCATAAAATATCCAAAATTTTGGCAAAAACACAATATATATATATCTTTTATTATTAGAATGTGGCACGGAGTGATTGATTCAGATAATAATGAAGTTCTACTATTATATGCCTTTATATTTATACATCAGACTAG